ACATTAGATATCTGCTCCTTTGTCTACCACACACACACACACACACACACACACACTCACGGCGATCCAAAGTTCCACATCTCATGTTCTCTCGTCTTTTCTCGTGTCTGAATCTCTTTCCTCTGTGTCTCTAGTGGACCGGGTGGGATTGAGGGTGGAGGGAGTTTGTTTCAGGAAGTGTGTGTGTGAGTGGGTGGGTCCAGCTCTTCCTGTTTACAATATGGTCTTCTGTTCCTGATCACAGTGGGAAAGTTTTCTGGCTGTAATGCTGTGTTCAGGTCATGTGGGAATAATGTATGTGATTGAGAATCACCGACTTGACACATTTAAATCAGCGTTTAGATGCAATCGTTGAAGCTTGTGCATTTTTCTAATTTTTAATTTAGCTTTCATTTTAAATTAGTGTGTAGCAACAATCCCATTTTATCCAATATTTTTCTCTCTTGTTGTTCTGTAGTCAGGGGGTTTAATCATCTTTTCCATGGAGTGTAGATAGTTGACGATGTCTATAAAAAGATGAGATAAAGTTGATTTTTCTGAAGCCAACATTTCTGTAACTGCGGCGATATTTACAGTCACTTACCTGCAGCCTTTAAGATCTTCAGGAGGTAAATATCACTTTTACAAAAACCTTTAGGCAAATCTTCAAAATACAGGGACAAATAAAATGACATCGTTGACAGTGAACGTCCCACTTTCTCCAAAAAACTGCAGGATGTAACATTTAGAATAACATTTCAGAGTTAGTTTCACTTCTTTAAAACACCCACACAGAGACACACAACTGTTCTATGCACCTGTGTTGACTTTAAAATACCCCATCTTTAATGTTCAAACACACAAAAACACACACACACACGACAAGAAGAATAGCAGAAGTGGGGCTTGTCTAAATATATCCTGTGGACCAGTGACTACAGAGGTTACATTGTGCGTCATTGTATTCGTGTATTACCGCTCTCATATACGTTTGATGTGGCAGGGATGGGTTTGCCTGTGTGTGTGTGTGTGTGTGTGTGTGTGTGTGTGTGATCCCTGTGTTTTCTACTAATGTGGCTTTAAGGAAAGTGGATGTGGGTGCTAAGTGAGACGGACAGAAACAAAGCCTGCGAGCTCTCTCCATCCTCCTCGCCTGACCACAAATGTTTCCCTTCCAACTATAAATACACTCCTGAAACCTGCCGCGTCCTGAAACATGAAACGCCGCTAACGGTGATGATCAGGGTCCAGAATAGCCCAAAGTCTCCAGTTACATTCGAAAGCTAAAGGCCCAAGGTAATACAGTTCAGTTTTATTTTATAAGCCCAGCTTTTATTTTGTAAAGATGCTATTTTATTCGATTAAACACACACAGGCCTCCATGTAAAAGCATGAATCTGGATGAAAGCTAAGCGTAATCGATAGGAGAGAGATCGCCGACTTAGAGGCCATGCAGGTTGTGGTGAGAGATGGAGAGGAAAGAGGTGAGAAAACCAATAAAGCTGCATTACGGGCAAAATGGAGGAGATGACAGTAAGAGAGGAGGCCCACTGATTCCCAGGCAGTACCATCTGTCTCCATTCACTGTATATGATCAACACAGACTCAAGCGATAATCATGACTTTCGTACAGATTCATTTTACTGTTATGTATACGATGCAGTAGTTATTGAGTTATGCAGTTTGAGGATAATCATTATGTCCTTTTGCATGTGTACTGCACATAGAAGGCTCACAAACTTTATTGTTCCTACCAGGTCTTAATCAGGTAAAAGGCTCACATGACAAATGACAAGGTGCGTATTTAATGCACATCGGGGTTTTTTTCCTCTGAGTCATTTAATGAATGAAAGTCAGCTGATGCTTGTTTTTAATATTGAAATGACTGGACTGACTGAAGAGAAACTTTGTGTTAATATATGTGCCTTTATTTTGTCCTTTATTTTACTTAGTCATGTGTAACAGTAAGCTTTGAGCCTCTCTGTACTGGTGATTGATTTAAAGGAATAGTTCAACGTTTTATGAAATACTCTTACTGAGAAGACTGATACCAATCAAGCTGCAGCCAGGATACGGTTAGCTTATCTTAGCATAAAGACTGGAAACGTAGGGAAGCAGCTAGCCTACAGCCTTCAAGCATCTCAGAATTTTACTAATGCAGACATTTTTGATTAAAATATAATGAAGTGAAATAAAATGGCAGTCCAGTCTGATTAACTAAGAGGATAGCTGTGCAGTATAAAGCCTTCAATGATGAACTTTAAACCACACCAGAATGCATCGCTCTCTAATGAGTGTTTTGTCAGTAGCAGCAGGAGACTGAAACCAGACACTACTTCTGTTATGAAAAAGTGATCCTCAAATCTGATGTGAGCGTTTTTCCTTATAGCACACCAGCCACTCTGCTGTGTGTATGTATGGTTCTGCTCCATATGCAGACAGCTCACGGGAGGTGTGTAAGAAATGTGTTAGGTGAAGCAGACGGAGCAGGCAGGTGGGCGCGAAGAGGAGGAACAGCAACACTGTGTGGGCGACAGAGTTGGCAAGCTGTCCGTGCGATCTGGTTTTCATCTCCTTTATTCGCTGTAAATCGGATATCAGCCAGTTACTGGGGTCCATCTCTAGTATGATGGATCTGATGCTGGTTTGATTATGTATTTATTTTTACAACTGGTTGTCAATAGGAAGCACATAACCTGAACTGATTATGTAATGACACTGAACTCAGCTGTTGACACAGCGTCAGTAAAGGCCTTCAGAAAGTCAAAGAGGGAAGTAGAGGTGGTGTACTGTGTGTATGTGTTGAAGATATCAGTTTTTATTCGTACATCAGTTTTCTTTTTCTCTCCATTTCCAGTCCTTTGCTCTCCCATAGATAATTGGAGGTCACAGGATATAAATAGCTCTCCATCTTAAACAAGGTAATCTTAGAGCAGTGAGTTAACAGGTTGTGTTAAGGTTGTGTGTGTGTGTGTGTGTGTGTGTGTGTGTGTGTGTGTGTGTGTGTAAGAGAGACAGAGAGAGAGAGTATAGAAACTGGGCCATGCGGCCTCTTGACACTCAATCTCATTGACCAGCCACAGATTACTGTCACCTACTGTTAGCCTGCGTGAATGCGTGTGTGTGTGTGTGTGTGTGTGTGTGTGTGCGTGTGTGTGTGTGTGTGTGTGTGTGCGTGTGTGTGTGTGTGTGTGTGTGTGTGTGTGTGTGTGTGTGTGTGTGTGTATATACACACTATATAGTGAGTGGCTAACACCATGTTTATTTGTTGTGATTGCCGTGATGGACGGCTGCCAGTGGACATGTATGGAATATGTCACCTGACTGAAAGAAAGAGACAGAGAGAGGGAACAGACAGAGAGAGAGAGGATTAGGTGTGTTCAGAGTCTAGCTGTCTCGCCCAGGCCTGTCCCTCATTCTGGCTGCTGTCGCTGAAAATGACCAGGTGCTTAAAGATGGCTGTGGCCTGCTATGACATGAATGCCCTTTGGACACAAGTTAAACTGTTGTTAGCTGTTAATGACTTCTCTCATTTTAAAACATTACAACCACCAATTTGCACATAAAAAATAAGTGGAAATGCCAGGAAAAAAAGGTTTTATGCTCGGCTGATTTGGGAAATATGATGTTTTGAAAAAGAGAAGATGATGCAATACAAAAAGTTCCCCGCTTGCATTTTTTTGTTGCTTTTGTTCAGTAAAACTGGGAACTGTGTTTTCAGTGGGCTGCATGGATTTAGTACTTCCAGCTGGTCATAAAGTGTGTGCATTACCCCTGCAAGTCCAGTCCTGCCTGAAATATTTTAAGCTTGAGTATTAGAATACTCTACAAACTCTCCAGTCTAATGTCTGTTTGTTCTTGTTTATATAACGGCTGGACTGTAAGCTCTCTGTTGGGATTAGTAGTTCTTAGTTAGATTTTATCAAAAAAATAAAAAGGTAACTGATATATTCTCTGGGTCCTTGTGGAGATATGATGATATGATGATGATGTTGTATGCAACAAATTGCAACAGGGAGCAGAAAAGGTGGTAAATGATTTTGTCAAAAGACAACAGATTTATTTATTTATAATTATATTTTGGCCAATCCCTCCCAGGGCTTTTTTTTAAGATTAAAGACTTAAAGACATCATATATGTAAGATATGTCACATGTGGCATTTTACATAATAGTTATTAGCACTTAAATTTGAGTCACTGGACTTTCCACAAACCAATCAGGCGTTACTAGGAAGCGATTTGAGCCTCCGCAGGCCTGTGCACTACATCTAGTAACATCCTGTCATGTAATGTAGTCATGGTTTAGTTAAAACCTCAGTGTCTGGCAAATGGAGAAAGACTGAGGGGGAAAAAAAATCACTTGTAATACGCTATCATCTTCATTAAAGTCATATATTTGAAAAGGTTTCAGAAACATCCCACCAGTTAAATCTTTGTGAGTTTAGTTTGTGAAGACAAGAAAAAAAAAAATACCAAAAGAACAAAAAAGGAGCATCAACACAGGGAGACCTCAGCCTTCAGGTGTCCTATCAAGTCAGTTTGTATATATCCAAATATGTGTGTGTGTGGGAGTGTGTGCGCATGTGTGTGTATTCCACATTCCAGTCTGAGTCACATGCAGGTCTGTGTATCCGTGGTAACAAAAGCACTCATTCATTGAGGAGAAATTACTCATTCATTGTAACCCTCTGTAAATGTCTGTGAATCCGTTTGTGTGTGTCACACAGTATTCTGTTGTTGGTGTTTGGGAGTGTATATGTGTGTGTGTGAATGTATAGGGTCATTACACATTTATCTATATGAACTTAGACATTAAATGAAAATGGAAAATGAAGTTGGATTGTACAGATGTTGGATGTTTTAATTCAGAAAATTAATTCATACCTTGGTCGTGTCAATGCAGAGATTCGTCCTGTGGTTTCTGCTGTAAATCAGCTACAGAATATAATGTAAAAAGACAACTGGCATTACATGAAGCACACATATCCTCACATACTTGTTTTTGTATTTTTTCCCTGCAGTGTGCTGGTGAGGAGAACTGGGTGGACAGCAGGACCATTTACATTGGACATAAGGAGCCTCCTCCTGGAACCGAGGCCTTCATACAACAAAGATTTCCAGACAACAGAATAGTCTCCTCCAAGGTCGGTGAAAACACACACACACACACAAAAAGATCAAACACACTTGATTAAGCTCGTACAGAAACATCGCTCAGGGTTAAAGATCTCTCTTTATTCTGTACTGCTCAAAATAAATTACTCTACTACTCTACCGTATTTAGGGTAAGAGAGCAGGTCACAGACAAAAGGACATGACAGGAAAGAACAGTTAGTGCTGCAGCACAGTTCAAGCTGCTCTTTCATTGTGTGGGTGATTTATTCTTGGTAATTGCACATTGTGTTGGGAAAGTGTTTTGGGAACAGTAGACCAGCTGATTTTATAAGAATGGATATTATCTTTTAAAGACATTGTAAAATGTCTATTGTTGATAATAGATCTACATTTGCACTGTGATGCTGGATTATATCTGAAGTCCTGCAGTTAAAAAAAAACTATTGATGTCCTCAGGCCCTGTTGGGATTTAATTTTTGTGTTTGTTGTACATAATACAAGCACTGTCCATTGAAACTGCATCCTGAAAACTACATGTGTTATTAGTCTATTTGTCTCTCTGTGTGTGCTGTTGTTTATTCAGGCCATTTGAAACAAACTAGAGTCTGTTTGGAAGTTCTTGCTCCCTCTGGATTTGACATGGATAGCTGTTGATAACAGACTGATTTTAACAACTTTTGTTTGTTTTGTTTGTATTTCAACAATCACTGTACTGTTTGACTGAGCATGATACTCTCTCATGTTTCCAGTACACATTTTGGAACTTCATCCCTAAGAATATGTTTGAGCAGTTCAGGAGAGTCGCCAACTTCTACTTTCTCATCATATTTCTGGTCCAGGTAAAAGCTTTTTTCTCCTCATTCTCATTTCTAATTCAATGCAAACTTTCAAAAGAAAGATCTTGTTTGTTCGTGTACTTACCTGCTTCTATTCTGCAGTTAAATGCTTCAAAATAATTTCTATCTGTATATTGCCTTCTCTTTGATAATGCCCATTTTGCTGTCTTGTTATGAATATTCAGTACTTGTGTGATGTGATTGATGACGGCTGCAACGGTATAGTTTTGCCAGAAAGGATCAATAGATGCCTTACATGTAGATTATTTTACTGTTACTCATTCTGTGCAGTATAATGGTGCTAAAAGGGAAACCATCACTCCAAAAGTTCTTTTAGTTTGTGTTGCTTTTATGTTTTTACTCTGATTGACCTGTCGCACACGCTCAATGTTTGTCACTTGACTCTTTCTTTTTTGGCCTTCTGCAGTCGCCTCTCCGGGGGCTGTAGTAGGATTAGTGAGTGTAGCTGTAAAGTTGTAATCAAAGGAGTCGTTATTTGTTTGAGTGTAGGAGGAGATGAGGTCCGTCAATATTCTTGTACTTCTCATTACCTCTCTGCAGAGGCCTGTAAAGGTCAGATATTACTTAGTGCCACTTTTACAACTGTCTGTCTACTTGATATATTCTTCTGCCCTAAATTCATCCTCACTCATTCAGCTCTGTGTGTGTGTGTGTGTGTGTGTGTCACCTCAGTTGATCATCGACACTCCCACCAGTCCGATCACTAGCGGGCTGCCGCTCTTCTTTGTCATCACCGTCACCGCCATTAAACAGGTGAGACCCAGAGTTTTTCCTGATCACTTTAATTTAACTTGATTTGCTTTTATTGGCGCTGACACTAAACACAACACCACGAGCAAAACCTGCACACACACCTTCTCACTTTTATACGCCCTCTCATCCTCTTCTGTGTCTCTCTCTCTCTCAGGGTTATGAGGACTGGTTGAGACACAAAGCAGACAACGCTGTCAACCAGTGTCCTGTCCACGTGGTGCAGCATGGGAAAGTGGTCCGCAAACAAAGTCGCAAGCTCAGGGTAAATCACTCTCACCCCAGCTTTGGTGCATTTGTTGTATTGGCTCAGGCCGAGGGATTTTCCTGCTGCTAAGCTGTGTTTGTGTGCGTTTGTGTGAGTGTGTAGGTCTACATTTGAGAGCAATTTAGCTTTTTTAAAATCTGTCACATTAATGTATGTTATGTAACACATTCATAGAGTGAAATACAAGTTAAAATAACAGATAGGGAGGATCTGTTACAGCATCAACAGTCCTGTGAGGAAAGAAAATATCTGACTGTTGGCTGAACTTGAGAAGCTTGCAGGTGGTGAAGCAGAAGGTTAGCTTGTTAGGCAAACTGTATTAGAAGAAAGTGCATTAGCAATACTAAAGGGATAAGTGCCATGTCGTCCTCAAAGACAGTGCGTTTTTCTTTTGGACCCTGTTGGAAAATCAGTAGATGTGGTGCATTTCTTTTCAGCTTTCATCTCATAATATGAGCCCTCAAGTCACTTTGTGATCTCAAATAAAAGAAGTGCTGGTGCTGTTCACAGCTGCAGAGAAAACAAATGGCAGAGATGAATTTGACCATGTCGTCTTGGTGGCCTGAAATAAATTTTAATGTGCAAACACTTCCAAATGCTCTCGTGTGACCTAAACAGATACACATCGTAATGAAAAACTTAACATGAAGAAAGTGGATCAAAGATTTAAAATAACTGTTTGCACGTGTTACAGTTTTATTCAGCACACTGTATATTTTAGGGATGAATACAGAAGGCCTCTGTCTGTCCGTCATTCTCAGGTCGGAGATGTTGTCTTTGTGAAAGAAGATGAAACTTTTCCGTGCGACCTCATACTTCTCTCCACGTCTCGAGATGACGGGACCTGCTACGTTACAACAGCCAGTCTGGATGGGGAGAGCAGCCACAAGGTGTGTGTGTGTGTGTCAAGGCTGCCAGTTGTAATTCACAAGGTCTTATTTGTTTATACCTATAATCATGTATCAGTTTTAATGATGGATGATTTAAAGCTGTAAATTGTTACTTCTCCTTGTAAGTGTCCCAGTATTCAAGCTGAAATGTTCTTTTTCAAAAAGCCCTTTCACTCTTTCTCTAATCATTTGTCATCCTCTGTTCCTCCATCCCCTTCACCCCCCATCATCATCTCACCACCTGTCCTTCCTACTTTCGCCTCTCATCGCCTACCTTCTCCTGCATTTCTCTCTTGTTCCTTACCCATCCATGCCTTGTATTTTCATCTTTGTCTTTCGATTCTACTTCCATCTTTTCCTTCCTCCCTCTTTGTCTGTCTTGATTTGTCAATTTTTGCTCACTTCCTCCCCTCCCAGACCTATTATGCAGTTCAGGACACCAAAGCTTACAACACAGAGGAGGAGGTGGACTCCATCCACGCCACAATAGAGTGTGAACAACCACAGCCGGACCTGTACAAGTCAGTGCAACTCAAACCCTCGCAGAGCTGAAAAACTCTCTCTTTCCGCATAAATATCTGAGTGTTTCCTCTCACATCCTCTGTCCTATACAGATTTGTGGGTCGTGTCAACATCTACATGGACAATGAGCCAGTGGCCAGGTAAACCCAGACCCTCACATACCACAGTATAATGACTCACTCTGCTAATTTTTGTAATGAATCACCTTAATGTAACAGTAATAAAAGAGAAATCTAACTTTGGTTATTAGGTGATTTCTCACGAACATAAGAAACGTTTTATCCTGATCAGCGTGTGCTCTAAATGTGATACCCGAGTTTTCACATTTATCTGCGATTTTTCATCAAGTTGTAAAGGTGCACTGGGAGAAACAAATACATCAATAACCCCATCACTATGACAGCGATGAAACCGTCTGAATGAGGTGTTTTCTGTGTGCAGGCCGTTAGGATCCGAGAACCTGCTGCTCCGAGGAGCCACACTCAAGAACACTCCGTACATCTATGGTAATATCACCTGAAATACACAAAAATACATTCACCTTTGTTTCACAGAAGACTATTAACTCAAAGTCCACTTACTAGCTTTCAACTGCATTTTGCTGTCTTCTTCAGTGGGTAAAGCTCGCTCAGTTGTCATCAAGTGATAAAAATGGAGCTTCAGTCTCTTATTAATAGGTGGATGTATATATCTCCATGACAACAGAGGAAGCTCCGCTGATTAATACTGCAAGATTTGATTGAAAGCTCTGGAAAAAGCTAATAAATGGACCTTAATTTGTCAAACTACTGATCAAGAATTACCTTCATCATTCACGCCTTCCTCCCTGTAGCGGTTGCCATCTACACAGGCATGGAAACCAAGATGGCTCTCAACTACCAGTCCAAGTCTCAGAAACGGTCTGCAGTAGAAAAGTAAGCTCTCTCTCTCGTAAGAGCATCTTCTCCTGCATCTCTGCAGTCGTCTGTCTACTTCTCCTCTTCGGTCTCCTACTCTCCCATCAACTACTCCAATCTCTCTCATCGCCTCTGCTACTTGCTGTTTCTTCCTCCTTCATTGTTGCGTTTATGGAGGAAAACCTTTTAGCATCAGTTCACTTTGGCATCATCCCTTTTTTCTCTATTATCATTGGCTTAGTTAATCATTTATATTTTTACCCATCCTTCCATCCATCTGTTCACTTTTCAAGTCTTCATTTATTCACTGACTGAGGATCCTTGTGTGTCTCTGGCTCGCTGCACTGACTGGATCACTTTCTTTCCATCTGGCTTTGACATGCGTCTTGTATCCAGATGGCTTGTAGATATGACCGACTGTAGGTGGATTACATTTACACTTGGTCACAGCGTGTGCCTGATTAACTCACTGGAATTATATTTGTATGTATGCCGTTTCTCAGCTGTTGTCTTTACACAAGAATCTATTCACATAAGTACGGTGTGTTACAATCCAAACCTCCAAACCAGTAGTACCTGTGCGACTACACTGAACTGTCTCTGTGAATCCTTTTGCTTTTGTTTGTGTAGTTTCTATCTGTGGATCAGATATTTTTTTGTGTTGATATGGCCAAATGCTTATCAGATAGATAGTTTGCATGATTACACCATCCTTTAATCATATTACTTATTCTATATGTGTTATTTTTCCACTAAATTAACAAAAGATACAGGGTACAAGAAAAAATCCTGCAAACCCTCAAGCAGCTGCTTGTTGTCTCCCCCTGCAGGTCGATGAATGCCTACCTGGTGGTCTACCTGTGCATTCTTATCAGCAAGGCCTTCATCAACACCGTGCTGAAGTACGTGTGGCAGGCGGATCCCAACAGAGACGAGCCGTGGTACAACGAGAGGACAGAAACGGAGAGACAGAGGCACATCGTGAGTCTGTTAATTACACTGCTTCACTTCGCTTCTTCATCGCCTGTTCACCTTCTTACACTCCCCATGCTCCTCCTCCTCCTCCTCAGTTGATCAGGGCGTTCACAGACTTCCTGGCCTTCATGGTTCTTTTCAACTACATCATTCCCGTCTCCATGTACGTCACCGTGGAGATGCAGAAGTTCCTGGGCTCCTACTTCATCATGTGGGATGATGAAATGTTCGATGAGGAGCTGGGGGAGAGAGCCGTGGTCAACACGTCTGACCTGAATGAGGAGCTGGGACAGGTAGTCAACCTCCCTCTGAGCAGACTAACGTAAAAGCAAATGTTACTGTGTTATACAAAGAGGATTTAGTAGAAAGTTTTCAAGAAATTCAGTATTAATTAAAAGACAAACACACATACAGGACACTTTGCTCTCTTTCCAGGTGGAGTATGTGTTTACAGACAAGACAGGGACTCTGACAGAGAACAATATGGAGTTTATAGAGTGCTGTGTGGACGGACATGTTTACGTGCCTCATGCCATCTGTAACGGACAGGTAACAACCTGATGGACGGGTCGATAGGTCTTCATCTTCATCATCCCGATCACTTTTTAGGCCTGGTGTTGGTATTTGTGATCTTGTGCCATTCAACTAATGTGAACACAGCAGTTGTCTTCTGTTGCTGTGGTTTTAATCTGATTTCCTCAATTCATGTTAATATGTCAGATACATTAACTGATTTGTGTTGTTGCTAGGTGATGCCTGGAGCAGCCGGTATGGACATGATCGATACATCGCCAGGTCCTGATGCCAGGGTGAGCATAGCCTATCTGTGTGTGTGTGTGTGTGTATCTGTGTGTGTGTGTGTGTGTGTGTGTGTGTGTGTGTGTGTGTGTGTGTGTGTGAGGGTAACACTGTGTTGGTCGTCCACCACAGGAGCACGAGGAGCTGTTCTTCCGGGCGCTGTGTTTGTGCCACACGGTGCAGGTGAAGGAGGAGGAGACGGTGGACGGGATCAAACACGGCATCCACCAGGGCAAGTCCACTTCCTTCTACATCTCCTCCTCTCCAGACGAGGTGGCGCTGGTGGAGGGAATGAAGAGGTGGAGCGCACACACACACACACACACACACACACACACACACACACACACACACACACACACAAAATGCCAGAGATAATCAGACTGTTGAATTGTTATTAAAGCCATCTGCACACACACACAGAACAATAATGGTGTGCTGCTCTTTGCCGCAGGCTCGGTTTCACCTACCTGAGACTGAAGGACAGTCACATGGAGATCTTGAATAGAGAGGATGAGATTGAGAGGTGAGCGTGTCCCTTTGAAACAATGTTGTTTATCTCTTTAACCGTCAGCAACAATTCTCTTATCAGCTTTTTATTTATTGTATAAGTTATTTATGGCCACTATTGTACTTCTTATCATTGTTCTACTTTTTCTTTTTTTTTTATCCCACTGGTAAAGTCCTAAAAATTACAACAAGGGCATTTTTAGGTTTGTTTGACATTTTGAGCTCAGTTTACAGTTTCGACATGTTTAGTTAATTCTTAATTTAGAGTGATTAGAGTTGATCTGAACTGCGTTTGTGATATTACGTCAGTGCTGCAACAAGTGTGAGTAGCCTAGTAACAGTTCAAACCTGCAGCCCTCCAGCCTTGATTATAAATTTAGATCGGTGGTGAACAGAGATTAGTATTGTTGCCTGAAATTCATGTTTAAGTTCATGAAGTAGGATTTTATAAAGGTTTTCATAGGATTTTAATGTAACTACAGAATATTTTCAGTGTTTTTTATATGATTTATTGAATTATTGTGATAATTATTATTATTTTTATTATTATCTTTTATCAGGTTTGAGCTGCTGGAGGTTTTGACATTTGACTCAGTCAGACGGAGGATGAGCGTCATTGTCAGGGCCAGCACTGGTAACACACAACAAACTGTTATATATAGAGTTATGTAGAGCATAGGTTTCCATGCATGGTTTCTATCTGACACATTTTCTCCTCCTTTCTTTTCGCCTGTGTGTGTGTGTGTGTGTGTGTGTGTGTGTGTGTGTGTGTGTGTGTGTGTGTGTGTGTGTGTGTGTGTGTGTGTGTGGTTGTTTGTTTGTGAGCAGGTGAGCTCTATCTGTTCTGCAAAGGTGCAGACTCCTCCATCTTCCCCAGGGTTATCTCAGGCAAGGTGGATCAGGTTAGAGCTCGGGTGGAGCACAACGCAGTGGTGAGAGCACACACACACACACACACACACACACACATACACAAACACACACACACACCCTTTCTCATTCTCTCATAGACCCATAAACTAACACAAAGTCATTTTCTCTGGGAACATTTCTGAGACTTCACTGGTTTCTACAGCTACAGCACATGACCACAGCTGTTCCTATGGTTACCATAGGAAGTAGATCAGTGGAGCATGGCCCGCATTTCTACCAAGCAGTTGCTCTGTAATTTTCCATAGCGGTTCCAGTGTGGCTTCTAATAGACAAAACTGCACTAGCAGTTTTCCCTTTCAGCTGTGATACAGGTTGTGATACAAGTTGACTGTGAAGCAAACTAGTGCTAAACTTTAGCAAAATAACCTACTTTAAAGAAATAACCCACCTTAACCAACTGGACAGGTTGTAGAGAAGTACATATAATAAAGCAGTAAACCTCAACATCTTATCACAAAATAACTCCCACAATGCAGAGCTGATTATCACAGAACAAGAGTATCTGAGGGCGGAGTTTGATGTTCAGTTCACTCATACAGATGAGCTAAATACAGTGAATGGAACCTGTAGTGGAAACCAGGTCACGCAGACCGCACTCGTCGAGGTTGCAGCTGCAGATAAATTGTTGTTTTCAGTGAGAGCAGAATGATCTGTAGTGGGTGTTGTACTGGTGAGGCTCAGATAGAAAGAGCGGTTGCTGCCCACACACTCACATTCAGAGACCTCTGAATGTTTGGATGTTGCTGTTTGTTTAGATGGATGGAAAGTGCATGTGTTCTTCTTCTCTAGAGATGAGCAGACTAACCCTGTTTGAATCTTCTGTCTCCTCCAGGAGGGTCTGAGGACACTTTGTGTTGCCTATAGGCCTCTGAGCCCTGAACAGTACCAGGAGGTTTGCCACCTGCTGAACGGTGCCAAGTTGGCACTACAGGACCGGGACAAACGACTGGCGGAGGCCTATGACCTCATAGAGAAGGATCTGATACTACTAGGAGCCACTGCTGTGGAGGACAGGTGGAGGATCTCTTTTAAAGAACAATTTTATTGTTTTATTGCTTTTGGTGTCTTATAGCAATTATGTCTGCACTTCAGACACTGCTAAGCTCTAACTCTTGAGTCTTTGCGTGCTGCTGCCATGACAAGTGCTGCCCCACTTCTAAGTGAGCCAAACTGAGCAAGACCAAGTGGCAGTTCAACCCTCCAATTACACACACTACTGAGACAGTTATAGTGCAGGCTTCAAAGGGATCTGTAACTCAGAGGACATTGGGAGTCTGCTCATCCTGTGCAAAGAGAGGCAGACAGAAAACAATGAAAATGTCTCTGTTGTTGCCTCTGAGCAATATTTTGAATATTTATTTTTGTGCAACTAAAACATCCACTTCCACACATTCTCTCTTCCCTCCACAACAGGCTGCAGGAAAAAGCGGCGGACACCATTGAGTCTCTGCACAAGGCCGGCATGAAGGTGTGGGTGCTGACCGGAGATAAGATGGAGACGGCGGCTGCGACCTGCTATGCCAGCAAGCTCTTCCGTCGCAACACCCAGATCCTGGAGCTGACCACCAAACGCACCGAGGAGCAGAGCCTGCACGATGTCCTGTTTGACCTGAGCCGCACCGTCCTGCGGCAGCACGGGGGCATGACCAGGGACACTTTCTCTGGGTGAGCGTCTGTGTTTGGAAGAGACAATGTGACTCCCTCAGTCTTGTATGGCAGCTAAGCAACCCTTTCCCTATTGACTGGTCTTGTGTTTGTGTAGTTTATCAGCTGACTGCACTGACTATGGTCTGATCATCGACGGAGCCACCCTCTCTGCAGTGCTGAGGCCCGGCCAGGAGGACTCCAACTCAGGGAACTACAAAGAGATCTTCCTAGAAATCTGCCGCAACTGCAGCGCGGTGCTGTGTTGTCGAATGGCGCCGCTCCAGAAAGCTCAGGTACAGAGACTTCTGATGGCGTCTGTGTTGTTTTTCACTCAGTAAGAGTTCCTAGCTATGATGTGACTTTTTCTTTCTAGATTGTGAAGCTGATCAAAGCTTCCAAGGAGCACCCGATCACACTGGCGATTGGAGATGGAGCTAATGATGTCAGCATGATCCTGGAGGCCCATGTTGGCATTGGTTAGTACTGTAGCAGTTTCACCCATCCTGCACCATCTGATCAACATGCAACTGTATGTTAAGTTACTTCAGACAATACATTGCAGCCTGCATCACACTGCAGTTACTGTACAAACATGTAGACTGCTACTTTAACCAAAAAATGTAGCATATAAATGTGTTCAGTCGCTACAGTTTTAATCCGAAATACCAGGAAGTGACAAACCTCTGTCCACCTTTCCAGGTATTATGGGTAAGGAGGGTCGTCAGGCAGTGAGGAACAGTGACTACGCCATCCCAAAGTTCAAACACCTCAAGAAGATGCTGCTCGTCCACGGACACTATTACTACATACGCATCTCTGAACTTGTGCAATATTTCTTCTATAAGGTAGAAGCAGTGTTTGTTTAAGACGTTTGTTTAGGAAAAACAACTCAGGGATGTTAATACTTTAATTCACAGTTTCAAATACTGACCTGCTGCCTGCTTCTTCTCTCACTTATTTGTGTCTTTTTGCAGAATGTATGTTTCATCTTCCCCCAGTTCCTCTACCAGTTCTTCTGTGGCTTCTCACAACAGGTACATACACACACACACACACACACACACATGCACACACACAAAATAAACAAACAATCATTGGGATTGAAAGTAAAACTGACTGAAATGCTGCTCTCTGTCTGTTTCCCCAGCCTCTGTATGATACAGCCTACTTGACTCTGTACAACATCAGCTTCACCTCGCTGCCCATCCTGCTTTACAGTCTCATAGAGCAGCACATTAACATGGACATCCTGAAGAAGGACCCTACACTCTATAGGTTAGTGTTGAAATCTTCCCAAACCATTTAAAACCTTCAGTGAATGCAGGGCAGCACAGCAGGTGTGAGAAGTCTACACCCATCGGCTCTCTAATATTTTAACTATATGTTTACTTCACCTTTATAAGCAGAAGAAACACATAAAGATTTAATATTCAGATTATTTGAGACATTCTCAGTCATAATACCTCCCACTGGATTGTTGGTCTACAAAGTAATGACACTGAGTTATTTCAAAAGCAGAAGGAAACTAACTCAATTTGGCTCTAATAAACTGCAGGCACCAACATTTCCCTACTGATTTTACATCCATGCAAAGGAGACATTTGTTGGATACATCCAGATCAGGCCTCCGCCTCCTTCTTCACTTCACTGATTCAGCTTAGTCACAGCTCCAACTTTTCCGAAGTGAAAACTCGAGGTTTCACATGATCATGTGAAGAATTTCTTCCTCTCAGGCTGAATTCTCCCTTGTCTCATCGTATGACCCTTGTCTCTTGTCACAAACAATGAGACTTCTGAAGAGAAATAAAAGGCCTTACATCATGTATTATTGTAGTGTTTATGAGGAGCCTGTACCTGTGATGTATTCATCAATCACTGCATATGAGGCCTGTGCTAAATCAAATCAAGATATCTCTTTTCATCAGTTTCTGGGTAAAGGAAAGGTCCCTAAGGCAGCTAATGTAGTACTGATCAATAACTGTGTCATCACTCATGTGGGAGGAGGGCAACATGAGTAATTCATGATGTTTACTGTTATGCTGTGTTTATCTTCAGGGATATTGCTAAGAACTCTTTGCTGCGGTGGCCCATCTTCATATATTGGACCATCCTGGGTGTGTACGACGCTATCGTGATGTTCTTTGGTGCTTACTTCCTGTTTGACAACACCACCTTCACCAGCAATGGACAGGTAACACCCATGTGTCTATGCCAACTCATAGACATTGTTTTAATTTTATTGTCAAAGACACAGTATCCACAGGCCGCTGAGTGAAGACATAACTGCTGCCTTTATCTCCACTTTTATATGTTAAATTTAAAGCCATGGATCCTGGATATTTACATTTATATTAAACCGTAGGCTGCATAATTTTATAGAAAATATTTTGCGTTTGATTTCCATGTTCGACAGGCACAGCCACATCTATGATTTGCTGCTTGTCATTTGTCTTTTTCTGTCTTTTTGGGATGTTTTCAGTTTATTAATAAACATAAATCAAAGAGATTTTTTCTCTTTTATTTCCCAGGTTTAAGGTGTATTAACTGCAGCCTTTATGACTGACACACAGTTGCTTTGATAGTAGATTTCTTACTATGAAGCATCAGAGAGATTTATTTTTGGCTTTTTATTTTTTACTCTGATTGTAGCTCTCAAAGTTAAAGGAGGTCTGCACTGCAGCTTCATTTTACAGTTGGCCAATCTCTGATATGTAGCTTGTTGTTGTGTCGTAAGCCCAAGTAGATATTTGCAGGTCATTTTTCAGGTTGTAGGTGGTGGAAACACCAGGTAAAACAGTTAATTGTCTTGCAGTTTTCCTCATAATGTCACCAGTTAATTACTAGAAATCACTTTGTACGGACAACACAATAACCCTCCTCTGTGCATTTCTGCAGCAGGCAGAAAAAGTTTGACGGCTGCTGGTCTAACGTGTTCCCCTGAGTAAAGAATGAGTTTAGTGGACTGACAGTTTTATGTATAAAAGATGACAGACATTCTTCCATCCACATCCAAGACTCGACAGCATGGCGGGTTTTCCACCATCTTCCTCTGTGTTCTCTTTCATTTTCAAGAAGCGTTACTCTCCCAGAAACCTCTTGGACTGCTTTGAGTTGCTTGATTTCACTTATTGTTTTGCATCTAATTTTAATTTATTTTTTCTTCTCCAGCCACAAAACTGTTGTTTATTTTATTATGATTTTCTTCTTCTGGCCTTCTCCTCTTCTTCTTCCTCTTCTCTTACCTTTCTGTTGCTTTTTCTTTTTGCTTCTCTTTCCTCCTCCCAGCTAATGACAACCAACACACAGATGGTAAGCCTGTCCCTGTCTCTCTGTCATCTCTCCCTAGTTTCACTTTTCAGTTTCCTGTTTCGTCCCGTCACACATCCTGATACCGAGCCACCCGTCATCTGTTCACCGTTCATCTCACGTCCAGCCCTTAGTGCCTGCTGTAGATGCAACAGCTGTAGGCCTCTGTGTAGTGACCTCCCTGTAGTGATCAAACACCTTAGGCTTACACTGTGTGTGCATTGTGTGTGTGTATGTGTGTGTGTGTGTGTGTGTGTGTGTGTTCGACTAGAAGCACAGGATACATAAATATGGAAAAAAGTTTGCACTCCTACTTCCATTACATGACATTCGAGCCATCTTTCTAATCTAATTCTCCTGCAGATGATGGTTCTCCTTTTAGATCACAAGAGCATTGTCACAACTGTGGTCACGCTCCAAACCATCAGGACTATTTATGGACTTATTTGTTGGGTGGAATGAAGTTAGCGCTGATGTTTTCATCCATCAGGACGCAAATCTGAGGCTTTTGAATTGTTACAAATAGTAAAAGGGGAAACCCAGAACATTGAAATATACCTTGAAATGTTATCTTTTGCAAGGTAGATGGATTATTTACACAAGGACATCTGTTTTAAGTGATGCTGTGTCACTTTTAACACGTTTTATTTGTTCTTTATTGTACCCTCTTAAAGAAAAAAAGCTTTCCTTCAGGGTTTCATCAGCCACAGTTGTTTTTAATTATATTTAGTAAAAGTAAAAAAAAAACAATCTTACTAGTTCATTCTGTTGAACATTATAATGGGTTCCTTTAATAATGGCAGCCACCAAATATTTTAAGGCTCACTGGCTTTGTCATGTCACAGCTCATGAATGTCATAATTTCATTGTCACTATAACGTCAGGCCGACTTTTTACATTATAATGCCTGTCTTTACTTTCTTTTTTTTCCTTTTTTTTATTCACATATCACACATTTTTATCATTTTTCATTGATTCAACACATTTGGGGAAACCTCAGCAAAAATAAAAAGGTTGTCTCATTATACTTTTTGCATGTTTGTGGCCACAGGATCCAAAGTTGAGTTAGGGTGAAAATCTAAATGACAAAAGTATGACATTGTTTTGATTTTGGCAAATAATCTTTATGACTATCATGAATTTTTAAGAAAGAGCGCATTCAAGCTTTGGTTTAAAAGATGGTCATGGACACTACAATCATTATCATAGGAATATTGTGGATAAAGTGTATTAATTATACTGTAGTCCTCTCGTACGCAGTATCAGTGAGGCTGTAACTTTCAGTCACAAAGAGACTCTAAGTTTTAAACTTACATGACTAATTACAATTTGTTCATTTGTAAATGATGCGTGTAGCACAATTACCATGCACATCACTTCTTCTCGTAACATTTAAACCATCATCGCACATCTTTCCCATACATCAGTCATTGATAATCTGAACTCCCTGCCATCTGTTTGATTGATTGATTCCTTACTGAATATGTGCACTTCAGTTTATCACTATGTAGCACATTAACACCAGGCCTCCAGAGAGATCTTGAATGAGCCAAGGGCAGTTACTTGAGAATTTTCCTGGATTACAGTCCTGTCACTCATGATGCATGTTAAAGGAGTATAGACAGTTTTTAAGCAAGTTCAGCAACAGTTGCTTTAAATCTGTCCAGTTTCCAGCTGAGTGTGTGACATTACACAATGAGTTGCAGCAACACTAGAGTGTGTACTCACTGATGTGACAGTATGTTTGAGATTCAGAGTGAATTGTAGTTCACATTAAATGTCCTGAACGTGTCGCTAACAGCAGCTGTTGTCCCTTTGCTTCTGTAGATGTTTGGAAACTGGACGTTTGGGACTCTGGTCTTCACTGTGTTAGTCTTCACTGTGACGTTCAAGGTAACCACGCATACCCACACAGTATGGACAGTATCTGCACTCACAGAAGCACTCAAGGAAGGCTGAATGAAGCCTCACTGGCATGATTAAAGTGAGCTGTATATGACATGTCTCCTGTCTCTCTTGTAGTTGGCTCTAGATACTCATTACTGGACTTGGATCAACCATTTTGTCATCTGGGGCTCACTGATATTCTTTGTGGTCTTCTCTCTGCTGTGGGGAGGAATCATCTGGTAGGTTTGGAAAACAGTTTTATATTTCATTTTTTGATTCTTAAAATAATGTTGGATGGATTTCTTAACTCCTCTCCTCTCCTCTCCTCTCCTCTCCTCTCCTCTCCTCTCCTCTCCTCCAGGCCCTTCCTCAACTACCAGAGGATGTACTATGTGTTCATGCAGATGTTGTCCAGTGGCCCGGCCTGGCTCAGTATAATCCTTCTGATAACGGCGAGTTTGTTGCCAGATGTGGTAAAGAAGGTGATCTGTAGGGCGCTGTGGCCGACAACTACTGAACGCATACAGGTGGGTACAGTGCACATAACAGTACATACACAATACATAAATATATTGTATTATTAACTTAAAAAAGTAATAAAATTTTAAATTGTACCGTTTTAAACCTAATTTTTGGTCCTGTCACAAACAGGATGTTGCGGCTTCATTTCTTCAGTAATATTAGCCTCTTTCTGTATTGTGAATATTAATCACTATGTAAACTCTAATGCAGTGTGTGAAATGTCTAACTGATGACTGTGGGTCAGCAGATGTATGCTGGCTTTGGCTATGTCCCTGCTCTGTTGGATGTAAGTCAGTAAGCTCCACTCTGTCTGTGTGCAGTGCTCCTTCATTTCTAAGTCTAAGACAATAGAGATGGTGTATATGTATTTTTTAGCAACTGACACTCGAAATATTTTATTAATGGAGAGTTAGTACTGCTGCAGAACCTGGGAGTGGGCGTTCTCCTGTGTAATGTACAGTAATGTTAATCGTCTGCAGGTTACAGTGTGGAAAGCATGCACTGAGTTTGCATGAGTAAAAACTATGAAGTTTGAATAATAGAGATTTGGTGTTGAAGAGCTGGGCCTTGATGTTAGAGATAAAGTGCAGTGAGTTTGTCGTTATTAAACAAAGCAAAGCTTCACTGTAAAGGATACTGTTTACAACACAGCCAGTCACAAGCAAGAAAACTTTATTCATGTTGATCCTTTTAAAACGAAAAAGAATTTATCGAGGGTGTCACATGAAGAAGAAAAGGAAAAGAGAAGGAGATGCAATAGACACAAAAGAGACAAAGAACAAAGAAAAAGAACGAATAGTTTTTCTAGATGTTTTTCTAGATGTTTTTCTAGATGTGCGCTGATTTGTCTTCTTTGCAATAACTGAAGACACTAATCATAAATTTTTAGATAATTAGATTAAAGACTAAACCACACCACTCCCAGGTTCTGGAATCTAGTCCGAGGAGCTTGTGATGAGCACAGCACTGATGTTATTTTTGGTGTAGATGCAGCACATGGGTAGCTAGGGACTTTCCTTCAGGCCGCTGTGATTGTTTCGATAGTTAGATCAGTTGCTGCAGTGTATGAAGGAAAGTCGATGTGTACAGTCTGTTGTGTTTGTTTTCTTACTGTTTGCAGTGAGGTCTGAACTTTTGCCTTCTAATGACCTTAAAGCCTTTTCATGTGTGTCTTCTTCCATGACCTAAATTTCTCCTTTTCCCATGATGAGATATTTCTGATGCACTGACACAGACTTTATCTCTCGTCTGTTTAAATGTGAACACTGTGTATAATTCAGCCTCTCTCTGGAAGCATCACAAGAACTTGTGCTTTCTGTTTTAAATCACACTGATCATGTAGCTCTTTAAAAGATCTGACTGATTCCCCTCTCCTCATTCACTCCTCCCTCTGACCGCCCTTATCCTCCTCTCCTGCCGTACCCCTCCCTCTGGTTCTCCTCCATGGCAGACTAAGCGTCGGTGCCTTGCCTCCGAGCCCTCCACCATCTTTATGCTGTCTCAGACCTCCAGCAGAATCAGTTTCTAACCCAGCCCTCCTGGAGGTGACCCTCTGCCTTTCCTCCTGTCTCTAACGCTCCCTCTTTCTCTCTGAATTTTCCTCTTTCTATATCCTCTTACTTTCTCTCTGCCCCTCGTTTGCATGAAGTGACTCTCTCGTCAGTCTGATTGCATGCCAGTGCATCTATGTCTTTGTTTTAGAAATCAGTTTCCTTTTAAAGGTTAGAATATGTGTATTTTTATCTTTAAGTGGGAGACCCTTCATGTGTTTGTGTCTGAATGTGTGTGTCTGTGTGTGTGTTTGTGTGTGTGTGTGTTTGCGTGTGTGTGTGTGCGTGTCCACAGTGTGTGAGAGATAAAGGGTTTGAGAGGGCCCTGGCCTACCAGAGTACTGACTCGTTACTAGATGGAGTAGCTGTCACAGAAACCTAAGAGGTCTTCAGCATGGTAAAAGACACACAGCCTTGCCAGTGTGTGTGTGTGTGTGTGTGTGTGTGTGATGGTTGGATTGGGTAATGGTGGTAATTTGGTAATGGATTAACATCCTGCAGTGATGGGGTTTACCTTGCTGTGGTGTGCGGTTCCCAGGTTTGACTTTTGGACATTGTACCTGACTAACACGTGAGTTGTGGTGTGTTTGTTTGTGTGTCTGTATGCGTTTGTGAACACCGAACGAGCTGACACTTCTCCAGGTATTGTATAATATACTTGCATCCCGTTGGGTAATTCTTTACATGGAGCTCTGGCGCCCTCTAGTGACACATTTCAGCATCGCTACAGAGGCAGAAGACTGTTTACTCACAGTGGGACTGAGCGTTCATGCATGTTTGTCACTTTTTCATTTGCATGGTTTGGTTTGGTTCTATAAAAGCAAGCTTATGGTGTTACATTGTGCTACAATATTTATTTATTTATTTATTTATTTTTTGTACTAATGTGTAATGTGCTCGGGTTGCATTGCTTGTGTCTAAAAAGAGCGCACAGGACATTATTATCACAGCTGGCCAATTAGATTAAAGGCACTGCAATATTTTATTAATTATATTATATAAACAAACAACTGAATAGTCTGGTAATGCAGAGTTAGGACAGGAAATTTTCTTGTCTTGTGCAGTGGCTCATTTAGAACTCGCTTCTTCAGCTGTAACCTTCCTCTAACTGAAGCTCGTGCTCTAATCTCTGCTCCAAAACATCAAGAGTAAAACCCCTGAGAGAGAAGAAGCCGTCCAAATACAAAGTCAGGCTCCAGTTCATCCCAGAGGTGTTGGATTGGGTTTTGGGTTGAGGTCAGGACTCTGCGCAGACCAGTCATGTTTTATCTCACCAAACTGGGAAAACTCTGGGAAAACAGCTCCAGACCATGCAAAAGTATGTGTCCACAATTTGTTAGTGAACCATATCACAGTGAATTTTGGCCAGCTGGGATAACAATGTCTCCTCAATGTATATCCTCCACCTGCTGTCTGAGAGCTCTCTGCAGTTCTCCACAAGTAACATGTTTCCTTGTCTATTTTTACTTTTTCCTCCCTCTCTCCCTCTGTCTCTCTCAATCTCTCTCCTGCACTGTCTCCTTCTCCTCCCTCTTTATACTCACGCAGAACGCTGATAAACTGTACAAGGGCCAGCTCTCCGAGTTCACCCCCCTGGCATCTCTCCATGCCCCATCCAAGGCTGGCAGCCACCGGCGAGGCTCGGCCCACCAAAGGAACGCCCCAAACCCTCGAAGGTCTGAACCCTTTACCAAGAAAGTCATGTTCACACGCTGGCAAAGAGCACCAGACTACTGCACCTTCACCCCGCTCCTCCGGTTCGCAGATGGGTCCCGCCACCCAAGACAGGGACACGCTTACAGTGGGGCGGGGCCTGAGACCTCAGTCTAATTTATTTTTTGTTTGTTGTTTTTCTATTCTTATATTCTGATATCAAATACAATGGCATCAGTTTGGAGTTGAACTGAAGAAAAAGGAGTGATTATGATAAATTGGTCCAGATGTGGATCAGGTCACTGCTATCAGAGCTGGGAAGTAAAGTCACCCAAAAGTAACTGAATTTGTTCATGTTACTGAGCTGGCGTAACCTTCATAACTGCTCCCAGGTCAGCAGCCGAGTATGGCACAAAGCACTGTGGGACGGCTCTGGGAAGGACTCCATCCACAGGGCCTCGCTCACCGCCACAACGTGCAAAGGGCTCAGTGTACCGATGTCACAATGAAATGAAAGTGATTTCATAAAGCACATTATGTCACACTAAAAATATGTGCACTGGCCCTTTAAATCCATCTGCCTCTGACAGCGGGCAGCTGAAGTGTACTTTTCTCTAATTAGTAGGATTTATATGACTTTTTAAAGACTGATCATGGTGTGTTGTGACTGGAATTGTGCTGCTGCTGCTGCTGCTGCTGCTGCTGCTGCTGCTGCTGATGATGATGATGATGATGAAGATAGTACAGGCACAGGCTTTCTCTGACCAAACATTTTCTTTTCTTTAATTCCTCTCTTTATTTCCTTCTTTCCATCTGTCTCTTCTGCCTCTTTATAGGACTAACTGGTGTTGCCTGTGTGCAAACCTGTTATCCCGAAATACTCCGTAGGACTCTGGGGTCAGATCCTACAGCATTGTAAGGAGGGGTGTGGTAGAGAAGTGAAGCTTGAGTGTTTGAAAAGTGGATCTGAGTCGGCCTTTTCTTCCTCTTTTATTACTTATTCTTTATTCTGTCTTAAAGAAAAAAAGACCAACTTTAGCTCCACGTCCAACACTTTAGCTTTTAAACTCACCTGTAGGTAGTGTAGAGTGTGTGGGGGGGTAGGTGTGTGCATCTGTGTGCTGATAGCTAGTGGTCGTCTTAGTGTTTGTGCTGTATTCATCTCTGCAGGATCTCCTTCTCTCTTATTGTCTTTGAAGCACTTTAACTATAGACATTCATCTTATATTTATCTATAATGCTGAGAGACTAATCTAAGTTTTTCTGCCTTGTTGATTTAGTGATAGAATCCAGTAGAAATGGCTGTGTGACGGCTTGCTAGCTGTTTCTTAATGCCTTAATGTCAGCTTGTAAATACCACAGAGATTATGAACCAAAGAACCTGAAGAAAGAAAAACCTGACCTCCTCAAGGCAACAACTGAGCGATATAATTAGATGTGTGGTCCGTAAGTCAGTTGTCGAGTTTGGGGAGGTTTGATTTTTGGTTGCATATCATTTCAGCACCTTAAAAATTTACAACCAATCATAACGCAAGGATTCTATCAAGTGCTCCAAACTACTTGATGCCTTAAATTAGTAGTTAATATTTCTGAGATTTGCTCATTGGTCATATAGACATTTATTCAGGAGAACACACATATAATCATAACTGTAACACTGTAATATACACTGATGGACACACAACCTCTATATAACAGACAGCGCAGGAAAAAAAGTATGAAATGAAACAAATATCTAATAATTAATTTAACTTATTTCCATTATATTTTATTAACATCATGCAGGTGCACAGGTCAGTGCACAGTCACTAAAACCTCTGCTCCTCCTGCAGCAGAAAACAATAGAAGTGTTTTCTAATGTGACTCATAAATTAGATTTAGACTCGCTTTCATGTTCTCAGTTTTGGCCGACGTCATGTTTGCCAGAGTGAGACGTTTACTCCCCTTCTTGCTGAGAGTCACAAGAGAAGATCGACCACCATTCCCATGCAGGTACCACCAGCGGCCAGTTAGCTTAGCTTAGCACAAAGACTGGCAACAGGGGGAAACATGTAGCCTGGCTTTGTGAAAATGTATCACACCTCTAAACCTCTAATGTATTATTAGAGAAGATGAATATTACTTTGTTAGGAAGCTGTAGAGGTGTTTGTTCAGAGGTAAAATAAATCCACCTGCCAGCTAAGCTAAGCTGAACGTCTCCTGGCTGTAGCTTCGTATTGATCATCCAAACATGAGAGTGGTATCAATATTCTGATCTGACTCTCTGCAAGAAAGCTGTTTATTTAACTGATTCATGAAAAATATTATTTCATTGTATTCAAGCTCACCTTGAAGTCTGCACCTTCGAAAGTAAGCCGTTTCTTGACTTAACTGAGCAGTAATATAAATGGAACAGCCAACACCTGTTATAGTAAAGGGCAGTGCCATGTTATAGAAGAAAATGTTTGTTTGTTACATGAACAAAAGTTGAAAAAAAAAATGTACAAAATGTGACAGAAAAGAAACATTTCAGGCATAGGACTGTCATCAATAGTAAATGGCACCTCAAGGTCTTTTTTTTTTGTGTGTGTGTGTGATTCAGATCCAAACTTTGACCTGTTCTGTTTGGTGAAATCACAGTCAGATGTGCCTGAGTGCAAAACTGAACGTTAGCGCGCTCGGTGGAGTTCGTCACTTAGCAGACGTTGTGAAAAGATTTCTCATATTTCTGTCTTTCATCATCAGTCAGCTTGTCGTTTATGAGCTGTAGGAAATTCAGGTATCAGACATTCATACTCATAACTCATACAGATGCTGTTCCACATTATGTTGTCAACAGAATACATTTGTGAGGTGTTTTAGTTTTGCGTGTTAGATTGATTATGGCATCTTATTGCTCAGCGCTCATGCTCTTCAAAGCCTTACGATGGTGTAACAAGAGTGTAATGAGATTATCTACCGTCAACTGTGCAGTCTATGAATTCTGTCTTACACTTTTCCTGTTTCAACTCTTACCCTCTCTCTGTCTTTCTAGCTCTCTCGCTCTCTCTATCTCTCTCTCTCTCTTTCTCTCTCTCTGCTGAAGTGATGTGGAAGTTTTCCTACCTCTGTGACAGCCGCCTCCACTCGTCCTCATCATCACCCTCTTCGTCTGTCTCGGCCATTCTTCCATAGGTCTGTCCATCCATCCATCTACGCATCCGTATGTGAGACAGAGTAGAAGTAACGTTTGTACTCTACTTTGAATAGTCTTTTGAACCAAAGCCTTGTTGCTGCTAGAGATACTTGTAGCTGCTTTACATTAGGTGCCTTGTGGTAGTTTCTCTGTCTGTGCTGAACTGTCTTTGCTTGCTTTTATGTTACATTTACGACTAATAATATTTGGCATTCGGATGGGAAAGCACTGCAGATGATGGATGTGAATGTAAAAGTTAATCTTATGCAGATTCTACTGTTCAAGAAGACTCATTTGGAACAAATACAGCACTGAAATATTATCATAAACACACAATCAATGAACAAATTAATCACCACTTGCACCAAAACATTCAACGACTTATTTTAATGTCTGTTTTTTATTCTTTTTATTCAAATTTTTTTTATATATGTCCAAGAGGGCATTTGTCTCTGAAATGTTATTTTTACTGTTTTCATTAATGTATAAAGTATAAAATTCCCATATACCACGTGAGGAGTGAGTGGTCTCACTCAGTGGTCAGAGCACACTGGAAAGATCTTTAATCTTTATTTTAAAGACATAGAAAACTTGAAGAGCTCCAGCTCTGCTTGATCGATCAACTGCAGTCGATCAATATTACAAACTGGGATTTTTTTTAGAAAATATTCAGTGTATGTTTCCTTTAATGTCTGACTTGAGATTCTGGTTTTCTACTTCAATATTTATATAAAAACAGTAATACTGTCGGATTCTGAGGTAAAATCCACTTGTCTCTGTGATTTGCTAATTAAAGGGTCAATTCGGCCAAATTACAAAAGGAAAAAGAAAAAGCATAAGATAATAATTTAAAATTACATGCTTGGTGTGGAAACAAATCTTAGGGATACATATCTCTATATTAAAAATAAAAACCAAAACTATATCTGCATGGCTTGATGTCACTAGAGGTAATTGAGAAAATACTGGGGTTTTTTTGTTGTTGTTGTTTTTTTGTAATTTGGGTGAACTGGCCCTTTAATATTCTCAGGCTTGTGAATGTAAAACATGTAATCAAGGATCCTGTTCTTCCTCCTGCTGTGTGTGAATTCAAATTGGGCTTTGATAGATACACACTCGTGAGGGGAGATGTTTGTCAACCATAACTGTGTGCCAGTATTCAGTATTGTAATATCTGACTGTTTTCCCACCTGAATCCATAAGTAATAAGAGAAATCAATACTGTACAAAACTGTTGACTAAGATCATCCCAGAGAGTAGCTGATGGCTCTTGCATAAAGAGAATCACCAGCACAGAAGCTTTTATTCTTTATTATTGGAGTTTTCTAATCAAGCCTGGCTGAATATTGGCATTTAGAGGCACCTGGGAGTCTTTCATATATAAATTATTGCCATACAGTCAGGCAACATCCTGTAACTGGGATCCATATAAATGAATGAATACGTTAGAAAATAAATCCTTCAGAGCTTTTTGTATGTATGTTAGAGGTCATGTGAGGCTTTGTTTGTCTTTTTTTTTTTACTTTCCGGAAACTGTATTTGTGTGTCTTATTTGTGTAGTAGAGTTTTCTAACAGCCGCACTGGGTTGTGACAAAACAACACTGGACATGTATGTATGCATAGCTTTAAAGACTTCACAAAAAAAAAAAGAAGAGATTTCTGTGGTGTTAGCTCAGATACACCCCTGCACTGAACCGTCTCGTCTGATGATTGACACTTTGCTGTAGAAATTTTCAAAGCCATTAATGGTGGATTTAAGGTCTTACTGTACCAATCACTCTTGTCCTCACTGTCCTGATCTTTCAAGACCACCTTAACTGACAGCCTTCAAACCGAATGTTATCTTTTCTCTTTTACAATGGATTACTGTATAGTGTTCTGTATTCATAACCAACAGTATCTATAATCGCTGTACACTCGGATACGGTATATACACATGTATACAATACATAAATGTAGTTATGTTAATTAATGTACAGTTTTGGGGTCTTTTTGTATACAGTTTTTAACAGAGTCATATGGAGATTTACTTGTGGATTTTTGCCAACCTTTCTGTAGCTATCAATAGCAAACAACTGTACATTTGCTTCAAAATAAAAGCCAGAAGTGGAAATGTGACACTAGAGATAATGTGGTTTCTTTTTTCATGAGTTATAGTAAGTGCACTTCCTGCATCAGCCACGGGGATGCAGTAGAGTATTTCTGATGTGTCAAGACCTTTTTTTTTTTGGAACCTTTTAAAGATCCGAGTTGACAAATCAAACGCGCCCGAAGAGTTTCTAAATACCTGAAACTGATGAAAGTATGTTTCATGAGAAGTCAGAGCATGTGCATCTAACTAACCTCTGTTCATACACACTGTGTTTTCTCCAATTAAACTACCAGCTGTGTTGAAAATGTTTTTTAAAAAAAAAGACAATTTTTAGATTTAATGTCTTCCCCAAAGTTGCTTCAGGGCTGCTGTCTGCACCATCTGAGGATGTCAACAAGATTAGGATGGAGGTTTTGGATCGATTGGATTCCCTTCATCCTTTTCACTTCTCATCTGCGCTGATCTCCACGTCCTCTCCTCCACAGCTGGCAGCCGCTGAGACCTGCTAGTGTGTCTGACAAGGATGGAGAAATAACTAGGGCACGACTGTCAGAGGTGAAATCACGGGAGGGGGGGTGGGGTGGGGGGGTGGCTGGGGGATTGCACATAAGAAAAGTAGATGTTGAAAAGTGGCAGTGCATTTTCTACCTTCGTCCCCAAGCTGATTTTTTTTTTTCAGGAGCTGTTCTTACCAAGTTAAAGTGTAGTGACTCATTCAGTCACTTTCAGAATGAGAGCAGAACGACTTAACAAACTCTTAAGGTTTTACCACCTATTTCATCAACTCCAACACCTCTAAAAACTTAAACTATAAATACATACTATGTCTACCTTTGATTTCATTTTAATGGTGTATTACTTAAAATACACAGACAGGTGGGAGGTGTAATTTAAGGTGCAATAAGTCCTTTAGAACCTCTTCACCATCTGTTTAGACTTCCTTCACGTCAAACTGCCTGAGGCTGAATCGCTTGAAGCACATTAGTGAGACATAATAACACACTTTTTTTTTTTAAGGTAGGTGTTATGTGTGTCAGTAAGTAGCTGTAACAAAGAATGTTAGATTAAGATGAATTCACACCCCCAGTCACACGGATATACTCAGTGTGTCGAGTAGATCCACAGAATGACATGGTGGAAACGGAAAGGGGACTGGCAGAGAAATGTCTCGGGATCATCGGCTCATTTTTCCATCAGGCCGAGAGTCAGACTTATCCGTCTGAAGCTGCAGCGAGCAACCGTGCAGCAACAGGTGACTTTAAAATATCTGCACACAAAGCCAAGAACGCAGAAACTTCTCTGCAACCACAACAGATTCAAAAACCATGACATGTGGCTACTTTTCCCAGTGTTGATGCTAAACTAAGCCAACAGCTCCAGCTCCTTATTAACCATTCAGAAACGAGAGGAGGTGTAAATCTTCTCATCTAACTCCAGCAGGAAAGCGAACAAGTGATGTGGGCAAAACAAGCTGCACCAGCTGTTCTAATTTTGCATTTTTGGAGACTCCAAAAAGAAATCAACAGTTAATTA